TTAGTGTTCAGGGGAGCTGCGATCTGCGCTTCTTGCCCACGCTGACGCCATGACATCCTTGTATAGGCAGCTGCAGCAGTTGATTTCCCAGCACGTCAACGATGACAGTGCGTATGCCACATACAATGAGCAGGCTGCGCAGTATTCTTCTTGGTACAAAACCAGGAAGCGGGTCGCCAATTCCATGCGTGCTGCGGGGGCAGCGTCTTCCAGCGCCGCTTAGGAGATGTGTGGACAATGCCTGTCGGATATGATATGACTTGACTCAATTTCTTTAAACAACCAAAAAACAACCAATTAATTATATGTTTTGATATCTTCTATATTAGTTTCCCGTACTATATCTGTGTAGCCGATGGGGGATGTCCATGTTGTGGGCAAGGTTCACTCAACCAGTTGAGTGATGTGGGATCAGCCCCAATCTGTGGGCTGGAGACTTTTGATGGTCATCGATCCGTTCCTGGGAGATCCTTGGAAAAAAAGCACCCTTCATTGGGAGTCACCTCGAGCGCTCACCTTTGGTGGATGGAGTCAAACTCACAGCTATACATACATATATATATATAAATTATTTATGTCTGTACGATCCAAAGTTACAAACAAACAACATACATACATACATATATGCCGGCAGTCGACTCACAAAGCAATCGCAGTGGCATCCAACAAAGGTTGAAGAATCCTATACTATATAAAATATATATATAGAGAGAGAGACTATCCCATATATATATATATATATGTCGATGTCTCACCCTCACTGGCATCCCTGCCTATTCCATTTCTTGGCCACAACACTTTCCGGTCAGGTCCTCCAGCCCGGCGGCAAAAAGAACAAGAGCCTGATGGAGCGTTGGCCCGGGAGCTCTTATGGGATGTATCGCGGGGAGACGCTTGCCTTCTGGCCAAATGCACTTTTGGATTGTGTTCTTTTGCATTAAGAAAAATCAGAAACACATAGAACCCAGTACATAATTCCTCTGCTCAGCAGTGTGAGGAGATACATGTGAGTACTGCCCAACGTTATGCGTCAGCTGCGTACAAAGATGGACTTTCGCAGTCTACCATTGAGAGTTTGGCCAGCTTGGCATGCTGGGGGAAGCACATGCAAAATTGTGAGCGAGATCTACATAGGTGGATGCCATACGCATACAACACTCCATTGGAAACCCACAATGCAGTTATAGAAATCTACAACCCGGATTCAGCCACAATTGAATTTCGTGAGATTCCTATTTTGTTGGCGTCCGATGTTCTACATGCTTTGTGGGACAAAAAAAGCGGGGTGCTGTGGGACGAGTGCATTGGAGCCACACCAGAGGGTTGCCTCGAATATTGGACGATTGCTGAAAGAGAATGGGCTGTGAACCATCCAGTAGTTCAGTTTTTTGGATGCAATCTCCAACAACACTTTTATGGGTCTTCTTTTTGCTGGGCGAAAGGGTGTGACCAAATCAATCCAACCCTGCCCAGTTCCAACGTCCTTGGTGCCCAGGCGACGGCTGCACGATGCCACCTTTCCAGAGCCTTGGAATGGCGATGGAACAAACACCCGTTTCCCAAGTTAACCTTTGCAGGGTCGTCTTTTGACGCTGTCCTGATTGTTTCTGCCCATGGATAGATGTTCAAATCAAGGTGTAATGGTTCACTGACGGTGCCCAATTTTGCACAAACCACGAGCTTCTCATTTGGTTGTGGAGCTCCGTGTTCGCGAAGACTAGCTGGTGTACAAAATACATCTTTGCTGGCATCCCCATGCGCTTCCTACCCACAAAAGCATTGAAGAAAAAGGCAAACAAGGTCATCACGGATCTGATTGCGTGGGATAGCAGCCTAGCTGGTGGCAATGTTTTGAGTCTTCATAGAAAACTGTTGTTCAGTTGTATGTATGTGAACTGAAGCCATCGGTGTTTCCCAAATCTCAGGCAAAACCATTGGAAGGAATTTTTCCTGAGCGAGACCCATATGGCAATTTGCTTACTGGCAAGAGAGCCCTGCGGGCTAATCAACCAGTAGCCGGAGGATGGCGTGCTGGGTTCGACAGTTGGTGTGGGGATTGGAAGGAAAGATCATTGTCCCATTGCTTTGTTGGCCGGAATTATCAATCCACTCAAGTTTGCGACCAATGCAACGCAGTGAAACCATTTAGCAGACCCCACCGGACACGTTGCCTTTGCTCTTCGCCGATTTCCGAGCTGATGCCCCATGGGTTGCAACTATCAGGACACATGAGTCGTATTTGAGGACCACTCCAAGGGATCAGATCTCACCATGGGTGGGTGTTCCCGGGTTCGTCCTGTCGAGAGTTAGATGGGACACCGCTCACACCATCCTGCTTGGAACTGGTAAAGATCTATGCGCCAGCGTTCTCTTTGATTTTGTTGCTCAGCCCGAGAAAAACATTTTACATGTTCTTGTTAATCGGTGTCCTTTCTGGGTTGAGCAACTTGGATCCACAGCAGTGCGCCAACACGCTTGAGGCGACGCAGCCTCATACTCTGAGCCAACTGCAAGGGCAACAGCTGCCTTCATTGCAAGGCGTCGCCTTGGATGATGGAGTCTTAGGCAATGCTTTGATTCAAAAGCTGGGGTCTGCCTTCAGGCAGTGGTGCCGCAGCAAACGGATTCCAATTCCCCCTTGTACATGGAACCTGCATCTTGTGGGAAGGGGTGAAAATGATGAGAAAGGCTATCCGGAGCTAGAGAGCAATGTCAAGGCAGTGCACACCAAGATCATTTTGTTCTTTCTATGCGATCTGGCTAGAGATGTCTCCACCTTGTGCCAATGAACCTCCAAAGAAATTAGTCAAATATTTTTCTACTCCTTATGTACTGTATATATATAGTTGTTCAACTCAATCGAACCCTTCCCACAAAATGCGACCTTATAACGCCGCCAGTAAGGCGACGAATGCGTTCTCAGAGCTCGCTCTTTGTGGGGCGTATGCGAGTTCCTATTCATCACCGACAGGCCAGCCCTGCGACTTGGGGACGTGTATCGGCAACGAGCTTGGAAAGGTGGCGCAGCATTTATGGTTGCTTATGCAAAACTGGCGTCGATCAACATGGAAAGACGGAGATTGAACTACAAACTACGTCCTAAGTGGTAACTTGTTCTTTTTCAAGAGCTTTTCTGTAAACCAGAAGAGGGTCGACCAGGGACATGGAGGTGTGTTTTGTTTTGGACGTTTGCGCAACCCTTCAATGATGGATCGTCCTCGAGTCCTCAATTATAATTGAAGGCCTGCATGCATCTTTCAGTTGATCGAATGTTAAGGCATGCCATGGCACACATCGTTCACGACCTGCGAACGTCTGATGAGAATTGCCGAACGCACAAGACGTTGGCGGAGGAATCCATGTTGGGAAAGATCACGACATTGGCCTCTCAATGTCCTTCTGGGAGCTACGCAGGGATTCTTCCACGTTTTTTCCAAAGGTTTGGTTTGTTCCTAGCGTTCCATTGGGATAATATCATCCAACACCAGACCGAAGTGGCCGAAGTCGATTGCTGAGTCTCCAGGCTCACATGAAGCCGCATGGGCTCTCAAGCCCCCCCCGCCCGAGGTTCGCGAAAAAAAAAGAGATTCGTGAACCGAACCAGAACTCATGATACGACGTGGGAGTCATGGATTGGTCTCTGAAGTCCTTGCACAATGTTCAGGGCCGTTGCAGGCCCTTCCAACTGCAACCCGCCTCCTTGCGGGACCCCGTCCACCATCAAAGTGACCGCCTTGGCAAAATCAACTCGCCGCACACCTTGTCCGTCAAAGTGAATGGGCAGGACTCTCAAATCATCCAGCTTGTAATTTGGCGCCTCATCAACCTTGACACGCCTAACGAAGACCGGACTCGAACTTCCATCCTTCGCCGGGATCACACCACGATCACCCAGCAAAACATGCCCTGCAGGTAGGGCACCAGGTTCATGAACAACGATTTCACCTTTCTGATACCCTCCACCAAGCTCAACACAGACCCAACACATCGACGGCCCAGCAACAGGCAACACTCCTGCACCCCCTGCTGCCACGGCACCAGCTCCAAGGACTCCAGGCACATGTGGGGCAACAGCGGCCGGTGGTGGCGGCAGTGCTGCAGCTAGTGGTGGCAAGCACGGCTCAGTCGCTCTGCTTCCGCTTCCAGCCGACCTCGTTGAATTTCCTGGGCCAGGAAGCTGGACCATCAGGCACTCTTGCTGGAATGTCGGTGGTGGCTCCCAGGTAGATGAAGTCAGTGAAGTCGGAGTTGAGGTGGGACATTTCCTCGATGTACCTGTCGTAGTCGGGGGTGAGTATCGCCCATTCGCTGCCTTGCACCTGGCCCAAGAGCACTCGTGCGCCAGACTGGAGGAACCTCTCCGTAGTTCACCAGGCAAACATGCCCTGCTTCCATCTTAACCAGTTAAGGTCAAGACTTTGCCACTTCCCCAGCTCCCTTCTTCCCCTTTGGGCTTCCGGTGGACTCAGACTCTTTCTTTTTCCTCTGGAGGTCCAAAAAGAAAATCAAAGCTCCAAGCAGCAAAAACAAAAGGATAGTCAGGGCCAGGCTCCAAAATCCTCCGCTGGACACACAGCTGCACCCACACTGGCAAATGCACGGTCGTTCCACCGTGGGTGGCTCACTCAGGCCACGAAGCAACCACCGTGTAGTGGTTGCTTAGGTGGACAAAGGGATGCAGGAGGATTCCATGGCCCTCCCACTTCAGAGCTTGAGGACATATGAACGGCCACGTTCACTCACAACTAAACTAAACCTTATCGCGCAAGCACTGTCCATATATTACATATATATATATATACAAATATATTATGGGCTCCCAAATCAGCGCCGTTCATTGTCCGCACATATATAATACTTGTATAGACTATTGAGGTGTATGTATATATATATATAATTGTATACAATATGTCGTTAGTAGACTCAGACAAAAAATGTCGACGCACAATATTCATAGTATAGCAATATAGCTATGTCATCTGTGAATCCCACCGAGCTGCAGGTGAGTGCCTCTGTGGGCGAGAGAGGCGGAGGAGTAGTGATTCCGAATTCAGAGGCTACAATGCTGTCCAAACCAATGTCACTGCGGTAACTAGAGCCTGGCACAAAAGCTGAAATTCGCCCGAATCGTGGAAGATTCAAGTGACACTGCAGCAATAGACCCCCTGCTTAAGTCGCAAGAAAATGTGGTCAGTCAGTGAATTTGCCACAACTAAAACGAGATATGAATATGCAACCTGACATCTGTATTCAGAATGTGCTTCCAGTTGAAAAAAAGTATTTTGTACGTGCTGACTGCGCTCACTGTCTTGAAACATACGCCGGCTGCCAAAGGCAAAATGGCCTGGCCTGTCACACCTTGGAAGCGCAATGCGACTGCCGCAGGTGGCACAGTCACAGCTGCTGTCAGCCAGCTAGAACCTTGCAAGGTTGTGACGCATAACAAGCCAAGCTGTTTGGAAGCAGTACAAGGAGTGTAAACGGTTGAAGTTTCAAGCAGCTTGCTTTGAACAACGGCAACTGGCGTTGGCCTTTTGGCATCTTCAAGCTTTGGCGTCTTTGCCCTGCCTTTGTCGCCTGACACCTTCCAAAGCTCGGTCCAATTGGTTCCGGTGCTATACTGGAGTTCCAGCGAGCCCATGGTGTTGCCAATCATGCCTCACCCCAACAGAAAGCAAAAGCATGAAACAAGTCATAGTTCATGCTGCTCCTTATTTCATTCTATCAAGGCCACCGAAACTGCTGCAAAAAGCCTCCACCAATTCGAGCTGCTGTATGCAAAGTAGATGGCCCTTGCACTCGCCCCTGCAAGGAACGTCGGGCTCTCCAAATTGAAAGTCTTGCTGGGGTAGTTCGGGCTGCTGGCCTGCCAGACCAACCAAGTGCTGTCTCGCTATGCGAAGCACTTCTATATATCGTGATCTCTTGCTTGACATGCGATTCTTATAAAACACACAATTTACTGGCTATCGGCCTCGACGTACACATAGTACTGACCTTCGTAAGCGCCAGATGGCCCAGTCCCACCACTGGGAGTACGACCTGTTTTCAATGCCCATTTGTATTGGCCATCAGTCGTCCAATTTCCAAGATCTCCTTCAAAATCAGCGCTCAAGGCTTCGATGCCTGGGCATCTGGCACTGCCCAGGTGCAAAAAACAAATCGGAATACCAGCGTGAGCTTAGCCATCTGTATTTTACAGGATCAGCTCTAATAGTACTAACTACCTAGCTAACCCTGCTAGTCCGGTAAGCGCTACCTTTTGCTCTACCTTGAGAGTCAACGCTACGGGGTCCATGGGGATGAGGTGAATTTCAACACCCCCCTTTACAAGGAGCTACCCGTAGGGAAAATCTCGGGGAGGATCAAATTCTAGCGACGAAGGAATCATATTAGAAATCCCATCAAGCTCGTGCATGCACTATACAAGGAGAACGTAGCTACCCTAATGTACAGTTTTCGCCTCACTCGGCATGTGATTAAACATGCTAGGCCCAGGTTAGTGTTAAGCATTGATTAAAAGTTCACTCTCCGACTATGGCAATCCTGTTATGGATGCATTGGGAAGTGAGACAATGAAGTGAAACATCATCTCACAGCGCGTCAGAAGGTGATCTTTATCTCAACACTCATAAGCTGCAAGGCATACCATTTATGGTAGCTATTCAACATCTGCTTAAAGAAATTGTATTCCAAAACGCTCCGTCTCGTCACGCCATCCCTGCCTCAACTACTCCCACAATTCCATGTGATTGGGCCAATAGTTCTCGCCCCATGGGTCATCGCGTTGCCATTGTACTCCAGGAAAATCAAAGGGTTCCAATGGTCGATCAATAGTTCCACGAATGCTGGAAGTCGGCGGCCCAGTTAAGGGTGCATTATGTGACGATGATGCCGAAGCGGATGAAGTTCCGGGTGGCAATGGCGGCGGTGGCACGTTTTGTACATTCCATTGCTGTGGAGCATAAGGTCCTCCTCGAACACTCACCTGCTGCTTATCCTTGCCCTTTCCTTTTACGGAAGGTTGCCTACCGACTGTAAAGGTCTGTAAGCGGCGGCGGCTTCGGCGTGAGATTGAAATCTGTCGGCCTTGTATGTACCGGAATGCCACTGGCTATATTGGGTGGCACTTTCGGTGGAGGAACCTTTGGAGGAGGCACCTTTGTTGGTGGGACCTTCGGAGGTGAAGGTTTTGCTGGACGTGGTTTTGAAGCCGGGGATAAGCCGGCCGTTGGTGCATCATTTGGTGCAGGTGGTGGAGGTGGTGATGCTGGGGCCTCTTTCACCGGTACTGACGGTGGATTGGAAGGAGGCTTTGGGATTGACGGTTTTGCAGGAGTGGATGGTGGAGTGCGAAGTGGAGGACCCAAAAGGTCCTTGGGAATGTTGCCACGCTTAGGTGGAAGGTCTTCACGGCTGCGAGATATTGCACGGGCAACTGAACCACGTGGCGTCCCTTTTGCGGGAGCAGTGGAACCTAACGCAGAAGAACTGCCTTGCCCTTTGCCCTTACCGGCAACATCTCCTCGCACACTGGCATCCCGTTTATGGGAGTCTCCTTTGCCTGATACTTGTCCTTGAGCAGGAGGTGCATTCATACTGAATACCGACGAGGTATGCGTCCCTGTTACGGGAGCTGGCGGCTGAGGCACGCCTGGCGGTGGAGTCCGGTTGTCAACCCAAGTTGCAATACGACCAGATTGATCTCGGTCTTCTTTCCTCCTCCACTGCAGCCTCGGTCGTTTGTCTGCGTCTCCAATAGTCTCCATATACATCTGCGATCGCTTCCGCGTCAACGGGGGCCTTGTTACAGGTCCTTGAGGAGATGGGGATCCACGCTGTCCAAACTCCAACAAAAGTTCTTCCAACCTTCTGACTTCGTCAGATGACATGTCCTGGCCACAATCGGCAAACTTGGGATAAGGCGTGGCCATGCGCTGTTCGATGTTCATGAAGCCCATCTGTGAAACTGGCTGTCCACGATCGCGTCCCTGCATATTTGCAGACTGTTGCGCGTTTCTCTGATATTGAATGTTTGCATAACTTTCATTCTGCTCTGCAAACTCACTCAAAATCTTGTAAATGCCTGTCGTGTCTCCACGAGGAATACGAATTGAATGAATATCGCCATAGACGTCCGTCGTGGGGATAAAGCCCTGGATCTTGATCTCATCTCGGCTATCGCCAATTACGGCGGCGTATTGTCGGAGTGACATAAACTCTCGGCGATAACTGATCAGAAAGTTCTCGTCGACGCCTTGCTTGAAACAGGTATGTAGGTTGTCAACACCGCATCGAATATACGCGAGCTTGGCGAGGTCAACCCTGTCCAGTCGATCCAAATCGCTGACAACCGACTTCCCTTTTGATCTCTGCTTCGCTGATCTCGTGGGTGCCGGTAATTGCAGTGACGCAAACAAGTCTTCTTGCGCTGCATCAAACGCTGTGCATCCTTCTCCGGTTAAGGAGGCGGCGAAGACGTCGTCGCGGTTGAATCGATCGAATACATTCTCATACCCTGATTTCAATGCTTTGCGAAGGCGACTGCGAGCTGCAAGAATAATCTGACTGTCAACTGACGGGCTGCCACGAGCTGGAGGTCGTCCAGACTGTAGGTCCTGCGCGGCAATGCTGTCAAGCATGCTTGTTGCGGTCATGTTCTTGGGCACGCCCCCCTGCTCTTGTAGCACCTTTGCACGCCTCATCTGAAGTCGCATAAACTTTGAAATCGGTCCATCTGTTGTATTGCTCTGAAATACTACTCCGCATCGATGACAAGATGCCATTCCTGCTAAGGAAAGTGTCGTACATTTATCGCAGCTGAAAGTTCGAAGATGTAGAAAATATCCACTCTCGATCTGTGGTACAGCTGTATTGCGATTTGCCTCCATCTCTTCCTTCTTTGCGGCACTGCTGCTAGCTGTGCGTTCTTCGGGAGTGGCGTCGCTTGTACCTTCCAAAATGGTGCGTACTTCCGACACTTTTCCCGGGACCAATGTCACATCATCTTGCGGAACACCGACCTCAATGTTCGAAGGATCCAATGCCTGCGGCCTCGAATAGAAAACTTCCGGCTCCGCATTTGCGCGGGCTCGAGTTGCAAATAGAATACACGTATTCGGAACGTGATGGCTGGTAATCACCGCGCCAGAATTTGTGAGGAAAAGATCAACTCCTGCTTCAATCACATCCGGTGTTGAAAAACAAATCTCCACTGGTCGGTCAGCACGAACACCAGATATCGCCTTCTGGTTTCCCAGAGGTTGTGTTGAAAAGAAGGAATTGCCTTTGCTTTTCGGTCCACCGGCTCCACCGCCGGGAATGAGCCCGCTCGCAATAATGGATCGCGCAGCACCTTCATGCGTTCGGTGGTAAAGCCGAGGTGGTATATCGCGGTTCCCGTGCGCTGTCAAACGAGCATTGTACCTGTGTACATGGTCAGGACGGCAGTAGATTAGTACTGCTAGCACTTCATTTGATCGCGTCTCGAGAACGTCGTCGGTGTGGCCTTGTCCACATCGGATCTTGACGGGGGCGGCGAAAAGTTCGAGCTGCTCGTTCACACGAGAGTCGTACACGCATTGAAATTCGAAACGATCTTTGTTGTCATAAATAGCCATCGAAATCAACTCAAAAACATTCATAGAATCAGCATAATCAGGGAATTTGGCCTTCGCCAAATCTAGTAGTTTGTAAATTGGCAAATAACACGCCGGATCATAAATACTGACGTCTGGGACGTGTCCACGAAGAAGACCAGAAATACCGCGACGAACATGATATGGCCAGGAGCAGCACCACTCCCAAGGCCCATGATGATAATCCTCATATACATAATAATACCTATGGCCAGTAACGTGGTACAGCACGTACTGCTTGGCGTCGCGGCCCAGCTCATCCTCGAGGAGTTGGATGTTGCCATTCCCGATGGCCTTGAGTAGGTGATCCGGGTAAGGATACCTTCCGAGAACCTCTTCAACCTCGACCTGCATATTTTTGTACTCGGGGTTAGGCTTCGTCTCGCGAACGAGAACGCCCTTCCCTTTTCCAGAAAATTTCAAGTCGGGGTTGTCGTTGTTCTCAGGTGCAAGAAAGCTCCCCGTTACGGGAGCGACCGAAGGGGTGCCTTGTCCCTGCCCTTTGCCTCGCAATCGCGGCAATGGTGGTCTCGAGTCAGATGAAGACGCTTGACCCTCTGCGGGTTGGTCCGCGTCCGTAGGGATCATAGGAACATCTCCGGTTGCACCTTCTTCAACAGTCGTTTCATCATCAGCCAAAACATCAAGAACCTCGGCCTCGATCTTCGCCATCTGTGGATCAGGTTCTGGTGCTGTCGGCAAGGCATTTACGCCTGCGATACCAGTATCAGGCCCAGGTACTTCGTCGGTTGCGCCTGTATAGCTATCGGGCATCTCAACGTCCGCGTCGGTTTCCTCAACCTTCGGCTCGACTTTTACGTCGGCTGTCGCAACGTCATCCATCGGCTCGTCCAATGCGGGCTGTTCCTCCGGTAGCTCAATAACAGGTACAACATTGACAAACTGCAACACATCTTGAGGATCTTCGCCTTCCAGGTTAACGGAGGCCTTGAGCTCTTCGACTGACACGTCATTCGTCTCAAAGGGGCTGTACGCTTGTACTTCCTCGACAGTAAACTGCCTGCTCTTCCCCAACGTCTGTTGCATTCGCGCGTTTCGCTGTTCAACAAATTCATTGATAAGTTGTAAATACGATTCCGGTATTTTGACTGTCGCTGAGGAATCCCAACTGTATTCAAATCTTCTCACCCTGTTGAGCGCGGCAATTCCCTCTCGGGAAGCTTCAACGACGTTCACATGGTACGACAATTTGACAATCGAGGTCACATAGTTCACGAAGCGATCGATGTTCTCCTGCGTCTTTCGCATATGCCATTGATCAACTTTATCGGATGGGTAAACCAGATTGTCAGGCTGGAATCGGTGTACGCCGAGACTCTCAATGATGTCGTTGATTTCTGTCCAGAAAATATCGACAAATGAAGGCAACTCAAAAAGATAAGAAGATATTCCACATATACAGCAGAGCTCGTCGGAGATCTCCTTGCATTCGGCTAACAGTTTAACGTTGCCAAGGATGCGCGCCTG